GCTCTGGGCACCCCCTCCTGGCACCTGTATTTGGTGAGTTGCCTTGTGGGGAGGGGGCAGGATGGAGGGGGAGGTCATTAGCTAATGGAGGTTCTGGCTGCACTCCCTGGTAGGAGCTGCCAGAAGGCTTGGGGTGGCAGGGAGGTTCTGCTGCAGGGTGGGGGGTGCCAGGGGCAGGGCTCAGGCTATTCTGGGTCTGGTATAGTCAGAGCCCCACCCACATCACAACCCCACCCTTGAGGCTCGATCCCACCCCACAGCTTGTAGCCCCACCCCCTAGGCTCTGCCCTCAAGGCTCAGCCCCACCCTACAGCTCATGCCTCACCACCCCTGGCTCATAGCCCCATGTCCAGTTCATTTCCCCTCCCACCTAGCTTGTAGCTCCACCCCCAACTCCAAGCCCTCCCCCGGGCTTGGCTCTGCCCCTTGCTCATGCCCCCCTTTGCTCTCCAGGTGCCCCCAGCGGATGTTTGGCACCTACTTCCGCGTGGGCTTCTATGGCGGGGGCGGGGGGGGGCCGGATGAGCAGGAGTTTGTCTACAAGGAACCGTCGCTCACCAAGCTGCCCGAGATCGCCCACCGCCTCGAGGTGTGCCCGGCTTTACGACTGTCCCCAACCCCTCGGGTGCCAAGGCTCTGCCCACCTGCTACAGTCCTTCTCCCTGCTCTACCCACACCTCCCACTCCCCTGGGAGGTCCTCATGCTCTTCCCACCTCCTTGGGCTCTGCCCACCTCCCAGCTTCCCTAGGTGTCCCCCAGGCTCCCTAGTGGGGGGATGGGGAAGCTGGGCCATGACAGAGGGTGGGGTCTTACTACGCCCACCCCCAGGAGTTCTATGCCCAGCGCTTTGGGGATGACGTGGTCGAGATCATCAAGGACTCCAACCCCGTGGACAAAGCCAAGCTAGAGCCCAGCAAGGTAGGTGGGGAGGAGGAACCTGATCCTGGGGTGGGGGATAGGGGGCATGGGGAGGAGGTCTTGATCCTGGGGGCAGGGGATAGGTTGGGGGGAGGGGTCTGATTCTGGTGTGGGATGTGGGAGCCTGATCCTGTGGGGGTAGAAGGGGGACCTGGTCCTGGGGCAGGAGAGGGCAAGTGATCCAGGGGAGATAGCCCCGATCCTGGGCAGGGGACGGGTGATCCTGAGCAGATGGCACCCCCCCCCCCACCCAGGCCTACATCCAGGTGACCTATGTGGAGCCATACCTGGAGGCCTACGAGCTACGGGAGCGTGTCACCGACTTCGAGCGCAGCTATGGGCTTCGTCGCTTCCTTTTCTGCACCCCCCTGACACCGGGCGGGCGGGCGCATGGCGAGCTGCACGAGCAGCTCAAGCGCAAGACGTTGCTCACCACGGCCCATGCCTTCCCCTACATCAAGACTCGCATCAACGTGGTCCACAAGGAGGAGGTGCCAGCGGGGGGAGCCAGCATGAATGATGCTGCCCCTGGAGGCTGAGGGGGCACGGCAATCGCCCAGAGGCAGCAGCGGGGTCAGGGCGGTGGCAAGCGGCGAGCACCCGCAGGCGGCTGTGGTGGTGTCGATGGCGATGGGGGGGTAGTGAGCACCAACTAGCCGCAGGTGCTGCCAGCAGCATTGGCAGCGTTCTCGGGGGTGCATGCGCACCCGTGTGCACCCCCTACACATCATCAGTGGGTGCTGGACTGGGGGAGCAGGGATGGGGGACCTAGCCTGACCCTGTGCCTTCTTCCCTCAGATCATCCTGACCCCCATCGAGGTGGCCATCGAGGACATGCAGAAGAAGACACAGGAGCTGGCGTTCGCCACCCGCCAGGACCCGGCCGACCCCAAGATGCTGCAGATGGTGCTGCAGGGCTGTGTGGGCACCACCGTCAACCAGGTGCAGGGCTGGGGGCAGAAGGCTGCAAGTCAGGAGTGAATGGCACGGGGTGCAGAGCAGGGGGCTGCAGGTCAGGCGTGAGGGGTACCATCAGGGCACAGGACTTGCCCACCCAGCCTTGACCCCTGACCTCCCCCTTCCCCTCCCCTCCCAGGGCCCACTGGAGGTGGCCCAGGTGTTTTTGGCTGAGATCCCACAAGACCCCAAGCTCTACCGGCACCACAACAAGCTGCGTCTCTGCTTCAAGGACTTTACCAAGCGGTACCAGCCTGCCCCTGCCATGCATGTTTCCCCCATGTGTGTACAGACACCCCCCCCCCCGCACAGACACACGTGCAGTACCCTTCCCACACATGCCTGGCCCCCTACCTGTACAGAACCTGCTCACACATGCATCCCACACATGTGAACCCCACATGTGTGCAGAACCTCACATGCATATGCATCCCACCTGTGTATGCAGAACCCCTCCACTTGTATCTGTACATGTGCTTGCACATTCAGCATTATTCATTGGCTCCGCCCCCTTTTCATGCCCTGCCTCCAGCCCTATGGCAGCCCAGGTCACACCCCACTGTGTGTTGGCTCTGCCCTCAATCACCAGCTCCACCCATGCCTATGCCTTGCCCCTTGGCCCCACCCTTAGCACCACACCCCAGTGGTGCTCTGGGACTGCTACTTTCACCCCATCCTCTGCCCACTCCCTAAGCCCACATCCAGCCATGTTCTGGCTCTGCCCCCAATTGTCTAGGCCGTGCCCACTTCTGAAGCCCCACTCCTCTAACCTGGCCCTGCCCTGCAGGTGTGAGGATGCTCTGCGGAAGAACAAGGCTCTGATTGGACCTGACCAGCGCGAGTATCACCGGGAGCTGGAGCGCAACTACCAGCGCCTGCGGGAGGCACTGCAGCCTCTACTTAACCGCCGTGCCCCCCCGCTCCCACCTCCCACAGGTGAGTACATGGTGTCTGGGTTCCAGCACTCCCCAGTCTCACCCCCTGCCCTCCCAGAACTGGGAATAGAACCCAGGCATCCAGGCTCCCAGTTATGCCCACTCAAACCCACTCCCATCCCGGGATGCAGGGAGAACCTAGGTGTTCGGGCTTCCAGAACACCCAACCTGACACACTGTCCTCCTAGGACTTGAGGATGGGACCCAGGCATTTGGGCTTCCCACCCTGCTGAATCAAATCCCCTGCCCTTCCAGTGCCTGAGGGTGGAACCCAGGCATCTGGGCTCCCAGAAGACCCTTCCCTGAACTGTGCCTGCCCCCCCCAGCTGCAGATAGAAGCCAGGAGTCCTGGCTCTCAGCCCTACCTGCTGGAAGCCACTCCCCCTCCTGGAATGCAGTGAGAACCCAGGCGTCTGGCCCCCAGCCCCACTCCCATCCCTGCCCTTCCAGAGCTTGGGGATAGAACCCAGGCCTCCTGGCTCGCAGCCCTGTCCGCTGGCAGCCACTCCCTGTTCCTGGGAGGCAGAGAGAACCCAGGCATCCGGGCTCCTAGCCCAGACCCTCAACCCAAGCTAGTCCATAGTGGGGTGGGGGGAAGCTTGGGGCTTGACTGGGACACCCCAGGGGCTGTGAAAAGGGGTCACTGTGAGGTGACTCCCTGTGGCACATACCCTATGTTCCCCCCCCTCTTTCCCCCCCCCTCCAGTGATTCCATGACCCACTTCAGGCTGAGGAAAGTGGATGATGAGAGGCACCTCAGAGCTGCAGCCTGGACCCCTGCCCTCCCCAGCACCTCCTGGGGGACCCCAACACTGGCTTGGGGGGAGGGGCAGCTGAGGACATCCCTACCAGTACCCACCAGCCTTGGGGGACCTGTGCTGCTGCCCTACCCCGCCAGGATGTTTACCCCCCAAACCCCATTTACCTACCCAGCCCCATTCCCCCCCTCCCCCATTTTATTTATGAAACAATTTATAAAGAACCCCCCTTTGTATTCAGAGGCATCACTTTGTATGTGGGAGTGTATTTGGGGGGGGTGATTCTGCAGCTGTAGGGGTAAATGTGGGTCCTGGGAAGGAGGAGGGGCAGTTCCCCCACCAGGAGCAAAGTTTCTTAAGCTGTGGAGGGAAGTTGCCCCCTCTGCTGGCTACAAGTGACCTATTGGCCCTGGAGGGGAATGGGAGCAGGGGGAACCAGCTGCCGGCTTGGGGGGTTCTGGTCCAGGCTGGAGACTACCTCCACACCAACTACCCTGGGATTCTGAGAGCTAGAGCATCCCAGGAGCTCATAGACCAACCACAATCAGTCCCGGGGTGGGGGGGTCTCCCTGGGGAGATGGTGTCTAGTCCTCCGGTAACTCCCCTGAACTGGGAATCTGAGGGGTGCTATACTGCACCTAGTAATGTGCAGCACCTGCCCCTGGGATGGAGTATTAATTTAGGGCTACTGTAATGTTCCTGATAATGTGCAGCAGCAGTATAGGGTCGTGGACCAGGCTAGAGGGCTGCAAGGGGAACTATAATGTGGCTAATAATGTGCAGTACCTGGCACGGATGTGATATTAGACTAGGCTGCAGTGGGCTCTGGGGTGAACCATAATGCACCAAATGCTGTGCAGCATCCAGCACTGGGATGGGGTTGTGGGAGTAATGCAGCTAATAATGGGCAGTACTGGCTTTGAGCCCTTAGCTGGCGGGGGGAGACAGAACTACTGTAATGTATTTAATAATGGGCAGTACCCAGCATTGCAATGGGGGTCCCTACACTAGAGTGGGAGGGGGCCGCCAGGAGGGGGAAGCTCCCAGCCGCTACCGTAATGCACTTAATATTATGCAGCACCCGGCACCGTGAAGGGGTTCCTAAAACTTGAAAGGGGGGAAACCCCCACCTGGGCTACCGTAATGCACCTAATACTCGAGCCGAATATGCGTAGCAGGCGGGCTGCGAAGGGAAGCCCTGACCTACCTGTCCCGCTGTGTGTGTGTTGTGGGGAGAGGGGGCCAGGATCCTGGTTGGCTCAGAGCTGGGCTAAGCCTGTGCTTGACTAGCCGGGGAAGGGGTTTAGGTTTTGGAAGTTGTGGGGGGCGGGGTCCAGGATCGGGCGCCTGCGGTGCTTGGTGCTGCAGTCGCCCCCCACCGCCCCAAGCC